TCTCTCTGGAATATTATATAGCCATTAAAAATGCTGGTTAGAGCTGGCTGTGGTGGCAATTCCAGTACAGGGTAGGTGGAACTCTGTTAGCTTGAGGCTAGCCTAGTCTACATAATGAGCTCTAGAACAACCAGGACTACATAGTGAGACCCTGTCTCAAGAAAGCAGAAACAAAATGGTGGGTTGCTGAGTGCGTAAGTAGGGAAAAATGCCTTTCATATAATGCCAGTTTTGTTTTTCAAGGGCAAGTAGTTATGGACATTCATTTAGATTAGACTCATAAAAATTTTGTACACCTGGAAAAATCTTAAAATATAACAAAATAGCTGACTTCGCAAATATAATATGGGTGTATATTTTATGTGTATATATATGAGATCAGTTTTATTTTTTTCCTTTTAATATTTTTTATTTTATTGATTTTTATTGAGCTCTACATGTTTCTCTGCTCCCCTCCCTACCTCTCCTCTCCCCTGCAACCCTCTCCCAAGGTCCCCATGCTCCCAGTTTACTCAGGAGCTCTTGTCTTTTTCTACTTCCCATGTAGGTTAGATCTATGCAAGTCTCTCTTAGGGTCCTCATTGTTGTCTAAGTTCTCTGGGATTGTGTTTCGTAGGCTGATTTTCTTTGCTTTATGTTTAAAAACTACTTATGAGTGAGTACATGTGATAATTGTCTTTCTGTGTCTCGGTTACCTCACTCAATATGATGTTTTCTAGCTCCATCCATTTTCCTGCAAAATTCAAGCTGTTGTTATTTTTTTCTGCTGTGTAGTACTCCCTTGTGTAAATGTATGAGATCAATTGTAAAACCAATACAAAATACAAGTTTTCAAGCCACTTTAAAGTTTGTGTGCATATACACTTATCACCACATCTGTTTCTGTCTTCTCTCTTTTCTCTGATGTACGACGTTGTTTTTATGAATGGGAGGCAGTGCTAATGTGGGGTAGTGAGTGTGTGTGCTTGTAATCAGGTATAAGGTGGTATGTAACGAGAAAGGAGTCAGTTTCTCTCTCATTTGGTAGGGAAGGAATTGCCAAGCAGAAGGGTTGGTGGCAGCCTAGCAGCAGTATGCTGCAGCTGGCGAGCCACAGAAGTGAGACAGCCAGAGGATGAGGACAAGTCAGGCCAGCATCACTAAATTTTGTGATTTGTGCTAAGGAGTAGGGCTTTTTTTCCTGGTGTTGGCGAGGACTTATTGAAGAATTTTGGTATATTTCAGTCTGCTGTTGAGTCAGGGGCAGAAGATACGATTGCAGTCATTCATTTAGCAAACAGTAAGCCCTTGCTGTATGTCATACGCTAAGGAAACATGGCTCAACGGAGCACCTGCTGTTCTTGCACAGGACCTGGGTTCAGTTCCTAGCACCCACGTGGTGGCTCAAAACTGTCGAAAATTCCAGTTATAAGGGATATGGTGTCCTTTTCTGACCTTCACTGGCACCGGGCACACACATATACACATGCGGGAAAAACACCCTCACACATAAAATGGACACAAACATTTTTAAAGGAGGGGTGTTTGGAGCCTGATTAGGATGCGAGGCCGAGTAAGGAGAAAGCCCCATTAGTTTGGTTTCCTTGTTTCGTACAACTGAGCGTGGATAAAACTATGCACTAGTTCTCCCAGTAAACAAACAGCATGTCAGGGGTTGGTGGATTTTGTTTAAGGTCTATTTTTTTAAACAAAATTGCATGGTATTTCAAGGTGATGTGTTGGATCCTGTGAGATTCTTGGCGCATGGTTATTAAGTGCTGATTTGGGCCAGGATATTCAAGGATTTCACCTGTTTTCCTGCAGGCTTCTCCTTAATCTTCTTAGTATTCACAACAGCCTCTTCCAAACTACATTTAACAATCATGATCCTTATTTATTTTCTTCTTTTTCAGTTATGAATTAGTTTACCATACTGATGTTTTCAATTTTGTGTGCTCAGTCCCTGATATCCTGCATTTTATACAAGATTTATAGCTTTACTTGGTGACAAATTAGTGTTGAATTGCTAGGTGATGGTTTTGATGACCTAGGAGACTGGAAATGAACAGCTGGAGGGGCTGGGTGTTCGTGCACAGTTAAGAGGGTTGCTTGAGTCGAAGCTGATAGTAAGTGATCAGTGCACTAGCAAACACATTCATAGCTTTTGCATTCCTAGGAAGTCCCGAAACCTTGCAAATGCTAGGACTAAAATAATAGCTGCGCAGAAATGAGAACTCCCTGTATCAGCAAAAGACTAGGGCGGCATTTGTAATACTGATTGTGGTAACTCATTAATGGGGCATTATAACTTAATGAACTGCAACACTGGTATACATTATCATACCTAGGATATCTATGATATGTGAGATCTACACATGAGAATTTCAGGAAACTTGTTTTGGGTGGAAATCTGGTGTACTTGTGAGTACTAAGAATGCGAAATGTCATGGCACTGTAGAATTGACTGTGAGCTCTGAAATGAGACCTGGATGCACATCCGGGCTCTACCCCTTAGAAGGTATGTGCAACCACAGGGTTGTTTCAGAAAGGGAGTGCAGAAGCAGAGAGATGGAAAAGTCATAGGGACTGCTGTGTCTGTCCTTAAGCCTGGAAGCGTGGGCTCCTGCAGACAGGTGGAAAGAGAGGGAGGGAGGGAGGGAGGGAGGGAGGGAGGGNGGAAGGAAGGAAGGAAGAAAGGAAGGAAGGAAGGAAGGAAGGAAGGAAGGAAGGAAGGAAGGAAGGAAGGAAGGAAGGTCTTTATACGCCAAACTAAATAGTTTGGATTTTGTCAACTTGGTCCTTTCTTTAGTGGTTCTTAACTGACTTTGTCCTTGAACACCTCAGAAAATCTAATGAAAGCTGTTTCTTTGTCCCATGAAAATGAAAACAACACAAATTTTCCTTATAGTTTCAAAAGATTTCCTAAACCCTGTTCTGGATGCCAGAACCCTCACTTCCACATTGAAAAGTCACTGAAAGGAATTTAGCCAAGAATTCCATCTCTTTCAGGCTTGTAGCTTAGAAATACATCTCTAACTGTACTTGGCCGACAAATTCGGGGGAGAGAGGCTGTGACTCAGGAAATCTGCTAGGCCTTCAATGGTAATCTACCTCAGAGTAGATGAAAGCAATAGTGATTAGCATAGAAGAGGAAATAGAGTCAAGAGCCATCTACTAGTAGAACAGCCAGGAATGTGACCAGGTCTATGTCTAGAAATGACATAGAAGAGGTGGGCGGCGTGGACTCTGTGTGTAGATGACTCTTCTGTTGAGGTACATGAGGATTAATGTGCTTACATCTTATTAGCAGTATCCGTTAGAGAGCTGGTAATAGCACACAGCCCTGGGCCTTCTTTATCTTTAGTATGCATACAGAATATCTTAGGAGCTTGTTAAAATGCAAACTCTGGTTCAAGAGGTCCAGGACAAAACCTGGGAATCTCCATTGACAGAAACCCTCAGTGAGGCTGCCCACCACTAGCCTATAGACCATGCTAATAGCAGCAAGAGACTGGAGCTAAAGGCAAGCACTTTAGTGAAATGATAGGCTCATAGTTAATAGCATCATAGGTAGTTAATAAAACTACGGAAATAAACCACATCTCCTGGAAAGAATGCATAAAATAGAGGAGATAAAACAAATATTGAGCCTTGTGGAATGGCAGTTATTAAAGGAAACTAAGGTTTATCTCAGTGTAGAGCGCATAGTTACCATGTGTGAGGCTTTGGACTCCATCCCCAGAGGACACACACATGGGGCGGGTCATAAAAGACTATGGTGAGATTTTGAGAAGGGATGGTCAGCTGGGCATGGTGGCACACACCTTGAGTCCCAGCACTTGGGAGGCAGAGGCAGGTGGATCTCTGTGAATTTGAGACCAGCCTGGTCTACAGAGGGAGTTCCAAGACAGACCGGACAACAAAAAGAAACCCTATCTGGGGGGTCAAAGAAATAGGAAGTCTCAAGAATGACTTTCCCCACAGAAAGCAACAGTGAAAATGAGCTGCAAAAAGACACATTTGAATAGCAGTGTTTGACCCTGTTTTGCATACATTCACCACATGGGTGATGGTGTCCTGGAGGAGCAAAAATTCATTACTGAAGGTGAACTAACTTTAGTGTTATAGTAATTTATAGTCCTCCAGAGGGACTCAGTACATAAACAGATGTACAGTGTATCTACCATATTAAAATTTCATGGCAGGAGGAGGTGACTAAGGAAAGCTGTCTTAAAGGGATCCTGGAATGGGAGCCAGGCACAGTAATGAGAAAATGGCTGAGAAGCAGTACTATAGAGAAGATCTGTACAGGGGTAGATGAAGCTTCAGAGGGTGAAAAGGGCCGGGCCGGGCATCTAAAGAGGTAGAGGAAGGGTACGTCAGGAAGCTTCAACAGCATTTGCAGAGGCAGAGCAGCATAAAATAAGACATGAAATCAACATCAATTGAATGTGAAGCAGCACCCCAAAAAGCAGGGAGGCCTCAGGTCCAGCTTAGAGCTCATATTGCCGGAGGTGGGGGCGGGCTATAGTGTAAACTGGACAGTGACAGAAGATGAGGTAGGCTTCGTGGAAAACAGAATCACACAGTTAAACGGTGCTAATTTTGCCACGGAGAGTCACCCCTGGTGACACAAACCAGTAATCTCAGCTATTTGGGAAGCCAAAGCAGGAAGTCTGCAAGTTCAAGGCCTGCCTGGGCTGTCGTCATAGCTGACTGTGGCAGGAATGTGGGGGTTACCTATGAGCAAGAGGAGAAGCCTGTCAGGCTGCCTCCGTGTGAAATGACTCACTTTTCTATGTCATTTGCCCATGAACCTCTTTGAGTCATCGGATTCTTCTGAGGCCAGTCTATTAGGAACTCACTTTGTTCCATCCAGATTTTCTTAAAATGGAGCTCACCCTACCGTTGTAAACAGCGCTAGAGGATTACTAGAACCTGCCACAGGATAGTGACTCAACTTCCTCAATTTGTCTAGATGACATTGGGCTGGTCCCTTTAGCTAGTCCTCAGCCCTTCACCTGCCTGGTATGTCTGTCTCCATTTGGTTCTAAATCTCAGCTCCCCAAATCTCTCTCCATCCTGTTCTGACAGCACACGTAAGACCTGCATCTTCAGCTCAGCTACACTTTTCTCCAGCCTCAGTTCTGTCTTCTTCCCTCTCACTGCAAGCCATTGCAGCCTTCCACCTGGCCACATAGAGCAGCTTTGCCTCCGCCCCTGTAGGAAAAAGAGATCATTGTCCAGGCGATTGTTCTAGATGCTGTTGTTTCCTGTGTGTTCCACCAGGGGGCAGTGAATGATAGACAGAAGGCTTTGTTGTGTGCCGCCTGGTAAGCTATACAGGACTGTGCAGAGCCGGGCTTCTAGCTTGTACTTACTGTCTAGTTAAGGTCAGTCTGCAAGAGTTGGAGTCCCAGGAGCCCCCATCTTTTTATATATCAGATAGAGAAAATCAGAGTGACTGTACTAGAGGCCCAGTTCTCCGAAGAGCTCTGTACATAGCAGAACGTGTTACCGTGGCAGCCAAATGTTCTCCTCCACCCACCTGTCCTCAGCTCCAGCCTTACCAACATGTAGATAACCACATGAAAAGGAGATCTGGATCCCAAGACAGCCACGTCATCTCACCACCAAGGCAGACACCTCATTTCATCCGTGGGTCCTTGTCTCTTGCTGCTCAGACCTTTCCCACGCTGGCACCTGCAAAACAAGCACAGTACCAGGGAAATCAGTGGGCAGCCCAAACTGTTCTCTTGATACATATTAACTGATCAGGGGCCAGTTTCTCCATAACAAAATTGTCACCTGGCCACTAGAGCGGTAACCAACCAAGTCCCTATGGCACTCTCCCCTATCCTGTAGAGCTGTGACAGACACTATCATAGTGGATCCAAGTGCCATTAATTCTGAACACAGCACCTAAGAATTCTCAGCCATTCTGAGCCTCAGTAATTCTTAGATCCATCAGTTACTACCTCTCTGGGCCTCCACGTCCACATAAATTACAGGTAGTAATAATATCCACTTCATGGGATTATAAGGATTAAATGTGATAATCACATTAAAGATCGTGGTATTTAATAAGTGTTGGTTAAAAAGTCATTTACCATACCCACACTGGATTCTACCCTGGCATCTCAGGCAACCTCTCAGACAAAGCCCTTGGTTCAGTAGCTCTAGCTGCTTGTGCAGCTGAGACCAGGCCTTGTACACTGGCATTTCCCTTTCTGATTATACCACTTTGGTCTGAAATTTGACTATTGTACTACCCATATCAGAGTTTATTTCAGGGTATGGCTACCAGCAAGCCTCCCCCCTCCTACACCATGCCTACCCTTGCAGAGAGTCCCCTTTTAACCAACGTCTCACTCCAGCTCACACCTTTGAAGCAAATAAAGAAACTGACAGCAGTGATGATTTAGAAACCTTGATGTTCAAGATTTACCAACAAAGGCGCTCGCTCTCTCAGCTTCACATCAAGGCGTTCTATAAAACCAAAGTCTGGTCAGTACCTTGGAGCAGGTTTTATCAGATCCTCTATCTCTTCATCTTGGTCTTGAGCTGCTTTCTGAAAAAAAAAAGGGGGGGGTCTTTCTGTTGGTATAATCCTGTCAGTGTAATTACTATCCAGAAAATCCTTTCCATGATCTGAAACCTTCTAATCAATTCCTAAGTTTGTGGTCTTCACAGACCTTACCTAGATCAGGAACGGTAATGAACAGCAAGCTCCTGTACAGCACTCCCGCCTCCCTGCAGCAGATGAGATGTTGAGCCCCTCGTAGAGTAGGTGTGATTCTCTTGGCAGTGTTTTTATAAATTCACCTAATGTGATGCTAGGCTCTCTGGGCAAGGTGCTAATGCAATGATTACAGCGGCACTTTTCCCAGGCTCATTCCGCAGAAATGAACATAGCGCCTCCCTCCAAACTACATTTTTTGTGTGTGTGCCAGAGTTTGCATGAGCTGGATGTGAACCTTTGTGAAATGAAGTTTCCTAGGTGACTGAAAACGGCAGCAGCTCCATGGTCTCTCTGCATCTTTAGCACCCCAGTATCCATCCCCTTAAGATAACGTTATTTAGTTCTCAAGCACACACACGTACACACACACAAGACCTTCCAGTAACTTAAGGTCTCCATTTACTTCTGCTCAACTTTGGGCTGTGTGGTGGTTTGAATGAGAAAGACTCCCGTAGGCTCCTATGTTTGAATGCTTGGTAGAACTGTTTATGAAAGATTAAAAGGTGTGGCCTTGTTGGAAGAGATGGGTCGCTGGGGGCAGGTTTTGAGATTTCAACAGCCCGTGCCATTCTTCGTTTTTGTCCAGTGCTTGTATATCAGATATAAGCTCTCAGTCTGCTTCAATGCCATGCCTGATTACTGCCATGCTCCCTGACACGATGGTCATGGACTAACCTTCTAGAACTCTGTGCCCACATTAAATGCTTTATAAGTTGACTTGGTAATGGTGTCTTACCATGGCAATTGAAAAGTAGCCAAGACGACCTGCAATCTCCACTGTCATCAGCTTGCAGAGGTAGGGGTACTGTCCCCTCTTAGAAGGATCAGGATATTCTGATCCCTGTCCTTGTACCAATTCTTTAAGAAGCTGGACCCAGCCAAGGTCTATTGCCCCAAGTAATAACCAGAGCTCTTAGTGATCAAGGCCTTTTGGAAGATAGGGAGGTGCTTCCTTAAAGGGAAAGAGGCAGCGTGTTATTAGGAGCCCAAACCATTACCTTCTGGAGCGGCCGGGGCAGATTTGGAGACTAGATTATCAGGAAGCAATGGAACTGGTTCCAGCCTAACATTGTAGTCATTCACCTCTAGCAATAGCATAGACAGCAGGCAGATGTTATAGTACACAAAGATTCGAGTCCATCATGGTACAGCCCAAAGGTTTATGTTCCTAGATACACCATGCCCAACCATGGTTTCTCTTCCAACAGGCCCACATAGCCTATTCACACTTTGCATATAAACTGATGGAGAATCAGCAAACTACCTGTGTGTTCATCCTAAAGTGACTATTCTTAAATCAGACCTGCTAGGGCTGTAGCATAAACGCATTCAGTTGGAACCAGTTTCTCTCTGGGTTCTTTTAAGGGTCAATACTATTTGAGAACTCTGGCTCCAAAGGATCTTTTATCTGCCTTGTACCTGGCCTACCTCTCGTGTGCCTCTGTTATCCTTCCAGTTGAAATAAAGCAGACTAAGGGTAGCCTCCAGGCACTTGGACCGCTGTTAGAATGAACTTCATTGAGGATTTTCCTCTCCCCACATCTATAACATCTTTAAACTACTGGTAGACCCCTCTTACTGTTCGCCCAGAACAAACTAGGTGCTGCTACCTTCTTCCCCTGAGAGTTCCATCCCATTCAGCAGTACCAGAGCACTGCTCTGTAGTGGCAGCTGGATGAGTCAGCAGGCCCACCATGATCAGACTCCAGTATTCATCCCTAACCACTCCCTCCAGCACACTTCCCCAGCAAACTTCCTTCATGCCCACTCTAAGCATCAGTAACCAGGGTTTGTTAAGTTCCTAGACAACTCATACATGCGGTCCCCAAGGATACGTTCAGTTGGTCTTTACCAACAAGGCATAAGGCTTAAACATAGGGGACTCTGAAGCCACACTGTCTAGGTTTAAATCCCAGCACTGTCGCCTCCTACATTGACCTTGAATAGCTTAGAAGTTCTTTCCTCAGTTTCCTCACATCTAAGCGGTGAAGACAATAGTACCTATCTCGTGAAGCCATTGTATTATAAGGAATACTAACCATGGACTATAAAGAACAGCAGCTCCTGATACACACTAACCCCCAGAGAGTGCGTGCTATTAAGTTCTATATGAATTCTGCCGACTGGAGTCTCTAGCTGGGTGACACCAGATACATTGCCTTTCAGCACAGATCCACTTCCCCAAGCCCAAACTTGAAGGACTCTTGCCCAGAAATCTTTGAAATGAATTTTAGTCATCTACCCACTGCCCTCCTTTACCTTTGTGCCCTTCCTCCGCCATGGTCGCTCCTCTCAGCTCTCACTAGCCCATGGTGTAGTGCGGTTACATTGTACCCTGCAGTGTGCTCCCACAGACCTGAAATCTGAGAGAGAGCAGTTCTTTTATTTTTCCTATTCATTTGTTTGTTTATTTTAGTAGAATATTAAGGGAACGGTTGTATCATCATTACAGAGATTTCTAGCAGGTTCACAGTTGGCCTACTGCCTGATTGACTGGCAGAGCTGTTGACGAGGACAGGTTGGTGGACCCAGGGGACACTGTTCTGATAATCCTGTTATAGCTATGCTCACCCCAATCAACGTTAGTACTCTCTCAAGTGTGAGTCTGGTAGTCCCTTTATTTAAGGCCCAAGTACCAGGACTGGGAGTGAATTATACTCTTACTTGGGCCCTGCCCCTTCCTCCACCCCTACTTCCTGACCCTGGAAGAACTGAACTCCTCTATTCATTCCTACTGATGAAGGCAAAAAGATCACAGTGTTCTGCTCAGTGGCCAGCTCAGGGGTCATGAAAGCAGGAACAAGGATAGCAACACCAGATGTGAAAAGGAGAGAGAGTGCTGGAGCGGTCTTGTCGGCATCATCAGCAGAACTCAGTGACGGAGCCAGTCTCCTTGGCACATGCTTGTCCTCCCAGTATGTGGGGAATGAGGCAGGGAGATTGCCATAAGGGTGACACGAGCCTGCAATATTTAGCAAATAAATAAACAACCCTTGGTGATTAATTGGCTGCTGAGCATAAAAAAGGGGGAATGGCAAAAATATTGAGTTCCTTGCCCAAGTAGGTGGAAAATGTTGTTTTCAGCTCAAACTGGAAACAGTGATCTAAAAGCACATTGAAGCTAATGGCTCAGTGGATAAAGCACTTGGTGTCAAAACATGAAGATACTGAGGATCAAGGTTTAGATCGTCAGAATCCATGTAAATACAATGTGGAGGTGGCAGCCCGCTTGTAATTCTAGTGCTCAGAAGGTAGAGACAGGATCCGCAGAGCAAGTTGGCTAGCCTGTATCAGTGAGCTCCTGGGTTCAATTTAGAAACCATGCTTCAGTGAGTAAGGTGGAGAAGAATGAGGAAAACTTCAGATGTCAACCTTGGACCTCCATACGTGTTGTCCACACACATGCATGCATACATACTTACACATCAAAATGGAGAGGTGCTGTAATGGTTAACGTTGTAACGCCTTATCAGTTTGACAGGAAGTAGACTCATCTGGGAGATAGATGGGCTTCTGACATGTCTGTGTGAGGTTATCTTGGTTACATTAATTGACGTAGGAAGACCTCTCTTACCTGTGAACAGAACATTCCCAGAGGATCTTGGACTGTTACCTGGAGAACAGGAACTAGGAAGCAGCCATGCGTTCATTCCTCTTCTGATAGGATGTAAGGAGACTAGTTGCTTCAAGCTCCTGATGCCTTGATGGTCTGTGACCTGGAATTAAGCTAAAATAACCACCTCCTTCCCTTTTTGTTGCTTTTGTCAGAGGATTTTATCACAGCATCGGGAAAAGGAACTAAGGCAGAAATTGGTACCAGGACATGCTTCGTGACTGGGATAAACCTGATTGCTTGGTCCTTGGGCCTTTGTAACTGTTTGTGGCTGGAATGTGGACATGTCCGGTGCTTTGGGTTTAGAAAGGCCGTTCAGTGCCGGAAGTAGAACTTAATGGGCTGTTCCGGTAACTTGGAACACAAGCATGCTAAGAGAAATGTGTTCTGTGAAGGGCTGGTTCATGAAGTTTCCGAGGGGAACAAAGACTATCTGTAACCCAGATAGAGTGCATTTGTGTGATACTCTGGCCAAGTATCTGCCTTCATTCTGCCCGAATCCCGAAGGCTGTAGAGAAGCTGAGTTGAAAGATAATGTCCTAGTTAGTTAGTTTGACAGGTTGGTGCTGCGACGGCAGCAGGCGTGAGTAATATGACTAGATGAGCACTACTGAAGAGAAACCCCTGTACTGTGCTGAGATAACCTAAGCTAAGGGAGTCCCCTGCCCCTCAAAAGTCACTGCCGAGGATAGACAATGGTCAAGTGTAAATTGATTGTTGGGTATCGAGTTGACATCCTGAACTCAGTATGTTCAGAATAAAACTACGCCATCCTTGAGGCCGTAGAAGCCAAATATGTTGGAGTCATTCTTGGCTCTTCCTATTCATGATTCACATCCAACCTCTTCGATGATTTTTCAAAGGAAAGTAATTCGGTCTTCAGATGTCCAGAATCTGTCATGTCCTTCTACCTCCTGCCTGACATCCCTCATGCGAGCTACTAACGTTTCTCTTGGTCTATTGCAGCAGCTCCCCAGCTAGTGTTCTTGCGTCTAGCTTTGTCCCTTTTGTCTGTTCTCAGGGCGGCCACAGGGACCCTTTTACAAAATAAGTTAGAGCCCATCATTCCTCTGCTGCATTGGCTGGCTGCCTCCCTGTTTGATGTAGAGTAAAAGCAAACAAAGCCCATCATGCTGTGGTCTGTTCATCCCTACCAAATACTCCTGTCTCCGTTCCTTGGTAAAACTCTTAATCTCTTCCTTCCTTCAGTGTTGTCTAGCCACTGGACTCCTTGTGCTCGCCCCCAGGCCTTTCCCATTGCTGTCCCCACTTCCTCCTCATTCAAAGAATGCCACCTCATTCCCTTAAGGTCCTCTCATAGCATTTTCTCTGTGTGGCCTTTCTATTCGTGCCTGTTGCTCCACTGCCTAGAACTGTACCTAGCATATAGCAAATCCCCAGCGAAAATGTCTGCAGACAAATGAGCATGAAAGTTGGAATAGACGGCAGAAAGAAAAGGAGGAAATACGAATTTCCAGCCATTGGTGCGAGTGCTACCAGTCAAGTTATTGATTGTCAATGTTTAGGAAATAGAAAATAAAGTAATTAAACTGGTAAGATTAGCAAATGCCTTATCATCGTAGGCTCTCAGTATATGTTGACTGAATCAATGGTAATCTCTTAACAGACTGAATGAAATTGTCAAAAAGAGTGGGGAGGGGAGGAAAGGGAGGTTGAGGTTGGGGAGAGGGGCAGGGGTGAGAGAGAGATTAGAGAGATTATCCCAAAGTTAGATAAGCGGTTGGAGTGTAGTTGAGTTCATGAAACATTAACCTGCCGAGCTGTTACGTAAGTGTTGCATTTTAATGAAGGAACCACTAGAGGGAGTGCAAGGTTCAGCAAGAGTGTTCTCGATGAACTCATACTCCAGGCATTGGCTTTTCTGTGTATCCATCCCGTCTTCATCTACGCTCTTTCATCAGTTTAGTCTTCTCCTGAACTGATTTCGTTCATGTGTCTTTAATAAATAGTTATAATTTTAATGGAAGTATGACTGTTTGGAATCAACACATTGTCACCTTGAAATCTGTTTTACTAATTACTAATTTACTAATTTACTAATTACTGTGGCCGGAATGTCCCTTGAGAATTCATGTATCAGTTCCTAAGCTACCGGGAGATATGCTATTCATGGAACTTTGTTCTTAAAGAATCATTAGGCAAGAAGAGCAATGGTCATGGAGTTTGTTTACTTGCAAAAATGCTAGTGTCAGACCACTGAGTAAATTGGGTACTTGGGCCGAGAGGCTTTAAAGCTGGGCTGACCTCTGCACGCCCTCCCCCTGCAAGGGCAGACAGCTGATAAAGGCCCTGGCTCCCTGAGCTTGTTTGAGTCTGTGGAAATTATTAGCTCTACTTCTGCACACAGAGATTGCATTGCTTGAGAAGCCTGCTGTCTATGATGCGCTTTAGGGCTAGAGAGTTGTTTGGGATGAGCAAAGTTTAACAGCCTGCTTTATTGTCTTTATAATCATTGATCCCATTGAAATTTGCGGAAAGGATTTCAGTTTCTGGATTTGTGGCCGAGCTGGATTCCTGAGGAATGTAGAGTCCTTGACCTGTTGGCAGCTCATGGTTGAAGTCTTTTACTGCCCTTAATCTAGGCCTATGAGTTAAGCCCTCAGTATTGTGGATTTTTTATTAATAGAATAATTTCAATTGGGCTAAGAAATAGAACTTTTTAATAAACTTGACTTACTAGAAAAACATTATTTTAAAAATGAACAGCTACTACAGACTTCGTGAACATGCCACAGTTTCCTTTGCTTGTCACATGCTTGACACAAGCACGACAGCACCTTGGTAGAGCACAGGAACCACACTAATGCATCTGTGTGGCCTGCAGCCAGGAGCTGATTCAGATCCCAGCTCCTTTTCCCTCGTGCCCTTTTCTTTCCTGCTAGCAGCGCACCCAGGCCCCCTGGGCGTCATCAGGACTGCCCAGGCTCTACTTGGCTGCCAATGCATCGCATACTTGGTTTTCATGATTTTCAGTTTTCAGAAGTACAAATATTTTTTATCTATGACATAGTCTGTTTAATGGAATATTTTCAAGGAGAACAAGAAATACAACTATTCTTTTCTTTTTTTTTTTTCTCTTAGCACCTCTTTTTATTTTAATTCGGAGCAGTTCCTAAAACTGCTCCTTGCAAAAGGAGGGTGAATATCCTTCAGTTTGTGATTTGTAAATCTGGTGTTCTCTCTAGAGAAAGCCTTTCCGTTATCCACAGTCTGCAGACTCATGCTACTGCCTTGTCTCAGGAAAGTTAAATGGAAACTGTAGATGCATATTCAAAATATATATTTCTAATTTGCTGATCGTTTACTTTCTATATTTTCTAATGTCAGAATAGTAAGAGCCCTTGTTTTCTATTTTTTTGGTGGTGAGGGGGGTTTGAGATAGGGTTTCTCTGTATAACAGTTCTGGCTGTCCTGGAACTCCCTCTGTAGACCAGGCTGGCCTCAAACTCAGAGATCCACTTGCCTCTGCTTCCTGAGCACATAGATTAAAGACATACTTCTTTGCTATTGGGACTTTTATTTTTATTTTATGTCTATGTCTATGCATATTTTGCCTGCATATTTTTGGACATCACATACATGCAGTACCTGAAAGGGCCAGAAGATGGCATCAGATTCCCCCTCCCGCCCCCCAGGACTGGAGCTCACAATTATCCCCCCCAGGATAATTGTGAGCTGCCATGTGGGTGCTGAGAATTGGACCCGAGTCTTCTGAAAGAGCAGCCAGTGCTCTTAAACTCTGAGCCATCTCCCCCGCTCTCCTCAAAGCTGAGTTTTATGTTACTGATAATATAGGGAATATTGAAGGCAAGTTAGAGCAGAATATTACGTTAAGGAAAGCTGTGGGACAACACGTGGCTCTGTCCAATATATTCTTCTTTTTTTTCTTTTTTTTTAAAAGGAATATTTTTTTATTGAGAATAAGAAAGAAAAAAAAGTTTCCACCTCCTTCCAGCCTCCCATTTCCCTCCCCCTCCCCCACTCTTCTCCCCCTCCCCCCACTCCTCTCCCCCTCCCTCTCTAATCCAAAGAGCAGTCATGGTTCCCTGCCCTGTGGAAAGTCCAAGGTCCTCCCTCCTCCGTCCATGTCTAGGAAGGTGAACATCCAAACTGGCTAGGCTCCCACCAAGCCGGAACATGAAGTAGGATCAGAACCCCTTGCCATTGACCTTGGCTTCTCATCAGTCCTCATTGTTCGCCATGATCAGAGAGTCCGGTTTTATCCCATGCTTTTTCAGTCACAGTCCAGCTGGCCTTGGTGAGCTCCCAATAGATCAGCCCCCACTGTCTCAGTGGGTGGGTGCACCCCCCGTGGTCCTGACATCCTTGCTCGTGTTCTCCCTCCATCTGCCACTCTGCTGTTTACAAGAAACACACCTCAAACACAAAGACAGGCACCTACTCAGAGTAAAGGGCTGGGAAAAGGCTTATCAAGCAAATGGACCTAAGAAACAAGCAGGTGGGCCATACTAATTTCTAACAAACTTGACTTCAAACTTAAATCAATCAGAAGAGACGGAGAGGGGCATTTTATACTCATAACAGGATCAATTCATCAAGAGGAAGTCTCAATCCTGAATATCTACGCCCCTAATATAAAAGCACCCACGTACATAAAAGAAACATTACTAAAACTCAAGGCAGCCATCAAACCGCACACACTAATAGTAGGAGACTTCAATATATTCTTCTTTGTAAGAGATATGACTGTTTAATGTAGGTCGGCAGTTCTCAACCTGAGGGTTGGGGACCCTTTCACAGGAGTCTCCTATCAGATAGCCTACGGATCACATATCTACATTATGATTCATAACAATAGCAAAATTACAGTTATGGGGTAGTAATGAAATAATTTTATGGTTGGGGTCACCACAACGTGAAGAACTCTATTAAAGGGTTTCAACATTCAGAAAGTTGAGAACCACTGATCACAGCAATATCGTGGAGGTTGCTAAATGCTTATTTTTAATGTCCTGATCAGAACTCTCTTGCAGTAAATTTACTTCAAGGTGTATTTATATCCATAAAGAAAGCGATGTCAATTAACTTCAAAGACTTCTGTTTGCCCTCAAAAGCAGAGAAATTTTATAATAAGCAATAGCAAAATTTAAGAAAACTTAAAAAATGCATGCTAATCACATGAATTATGACATAAATCGTTGGGATTCAACTTCCAAGAAAAAAATTTTATGGACATTTCTGAATGCTCAGATTAATAAAGGATCTTTGACTCTTATTAGATGCAACTTGGAATAGGCTCAATATTAAACGCAGGTCTGAGATTAAATGATTTATCTGTGTTATGTCCTCAATTGCATTTTTTTTATTTCTGATTAAAAAAATGGTTTTCTTCCAGGCATTATCTGTAACTCGGGCAGTTACAATATATTACAGATAAAGGCCAAACCATGATTTTTCATCCTTGTATAAACCCATTAGTTTTCATATGCTTGAATGACACTACTGGCCACACCATTTCCCCTAGCCAGCCATCTCTCTAAAACTAGATCCTCAGTCTCAAGGAAGGTCAAGCCGGTGGGTGTAGACTGATAAATGTAAGTCTGCTGCAAAATAGCTAGGGGAAAAGCCAAACAGCCGAAAATCCTCTTTGTGCAGGTGCTGGGCCAGTGCTGGGCCTTTCCACGCTGCTTTGCCTCACTGTGTTGTTGAGTACCCGGAAATGCAGAACTATGGCCATTGCCTACTCTGTTTTATATTCTAATAGCTCAGGGAAGATTTTCATTCCATTGAGCACCAGACTGTGGGGTATATTTTTGGAAGCAAGTGTAGGTGTACCAGAGCCAAAAAAGGTTGGGAACAACTGTAGACAGACTGATCTCACTGTTCCTAGAGCTGCCAATTCCAGGCACGGAGCCCTTAAAGTGGACTATAAATGTCAAGTGGGTGGTTTAAAGAAAATCAATTATGTGGGACTAATTTCTGATTTCCCATGATCAGGTGCATGCGTTTTGTGTACATGTGTATTTTGTGTGGTAAGAAGCAGGTGTGCACATAACTGATTATTTAGCTGTATTAAATCAGAACTGGGGTCTTATTGAAAAAAAATATGAAGTATATAATTAGAATAGGTAATATTTTTATTTTTATAAATGCCTTTTAGATATATTGTGCTAACATTTGTGTTGAAGGCAGTAAGTTCGATTGGGAATTTTATGGTAGAAAAGCAAACAAAGCAGAGACCTAGGTTTCTTGGTTCCTATCCCAGTTTCTAGCTTACGTTTGTAGAACATGTACACCTCTAAGGCTTGCTGAGCATAAATGGGAACTAAAGTAACAGAACGAGCTCTGGTTTTTCATTTGCCTTTGGTAGAGGAAACAATCAGTTGTAAATATTAAAACCTGATCTGTAAAAGCCATTGAGTCAGTTCCCACAGTGCTGTGCACTTGACAGCCATGTCAACTGCCCTGCAGGGTTAGTGAAGAGGGGTCAGGACAGAGTCCTTAGAAAATAGCACAGCAAGGTTTGGACATTAGATATGGAAACACTGGGATTTTTAATATATTAACCATTCCTACCTTACAACGATACATTCCCTTATCTTTCCTTCTATAGATCTTGAGGGGGCAGGGTGGGTGTATAAGACAGGGTCTCTATATGTAGCCTTGACTGTCCTGGAACTCACTTTGTAGACCAGGCTGGCCTTGAACGCACAGAGATCCAGCAGCCTCTGCCTTCTGAGTGCTAGGTTTAGAGGTGTGACAGCGCACACAAGCCCTGCACAGGTGTAAAGCAAAGTCCCACCACTCACCAAGAAGCTGTTTGCAGTTGGTATCTTCTCGGCAAGGGAAAGGCCATTTTCTCCAATGCAGTGCCGTTGGACCCATCAACCACACTCCAGGGCAGGCCCAGGAATGTTAGCCAACCCAAAATGGACTTCATGTTTTTTTGTGTATATTTTGGTGTATTTTTGTCTTACTGGGTTGTTTGTTTTGATTTTAATATTTTGTTTTGTTTTGTTTTTATGGCTGTTGTGCCTTACCGTGGGGAAAATATTTATTATGCAGGAAACAATGATTACTCTCAGTTCATCGAACAAAAACAATAAAGCTTATTATGGCATAGCTGTTTCAAGAGACAAGGCTAATATAGTATCCACCAGTAAGATATAGTATCCATAGTAAGAATATGAAGATTGATGAGTAGACAGGGCAGGAAGAGCTAGGAGGAGTTGGGGGAAAGGAAATAATATGATCAAAATATATTGTATGAAAGAATTAATTAAAAATTTTAAGACATGCACTACCACACCTAGCCCCATTCTCTTAAACCCTTATACCCGGTAGCTAGGAAAGCAAGCAAGTATGCTCCAATGGTGGTTTGGCACTCTCTTTAAAGACCAAGTGCAGGTGTGCTTCAACTTAAGAAAATTCTGGAAATAAAATGATGTGCTGCTTGCCAAAGGATAGATACAAAAATATGGTCAAAAACCTTCATTTTCTAGAGGGACTCTTGGTTGTGACTGCACGCCCCTACTGACTACCTTAACTTAACATCCCTGACTAGTTCAAGATTGATTGACAGCATCAGCTATCGCATGATTCTTCAGCAACACATCTATCGCGAAGCATATCTTGGTATTACTACTTGAAAAATGCAGACATCAAATAACTAGTCTATACACTCACATAAACTAAAGAGGGGATTTCAGGGAGTTTGGTTTCCGTGTTTTGTGTAATGCCGCACGCACGAGCTGTGTGGATGTGCGTGTAGGAGAAAGCATAAAAGCAGGATAGCAAGCACTATCTAGAGGGAAGAGCCAGGCACTGCATATTAGAATTAGATGGGCAAAGGATGTTTTTAAAAGAGCAAATAACAGAGAAAAATTGGCCGTTGCTAATTTCTGGGAAAGCCATCTTACTTTCCATCTCTGGTATGCCTCACCCCTGACCAATCAGTTGAGTTTTCCCCGCTGCTGATCTCTTGTAACCATTCCTGCTCTCAAGCAGAAATTACCCATAATGGCACAAATGGCATCATTTAATGAAGCAACAATAGAAGTACCAATACCATATTCCCAGAACAGCTTAAGAGGTTTGATCAGCTGCTACTGGAAGTAAACGGAATAAAATGTACCTTGTTTGAAAATGCGAGTGCACCTTATTAAGCACAGCCTTGGATGGGGTGGGGGTTCTCTCCAATGCCACGGCTACAGCTAGGAAAGTGGCTTTGTCCTGACCTGGCAACAGCCATGGAAATTCACAGGAGGTTCAACAACTGCAGTTCTGTAGAAAATGGTAGACAGAAATATTAAAAGGGTTACAGGGCTTCTAGCTCATTAATTACAGCTAAGCACCCGAAACGTCTGATGTGCATGCACTCCTAAAAGGGCATCCTCCGCATCAGAGAAAGCAGCGGCAATTCTCTTTATCTTTTCAGATCATAATTGACATCCACCAAGTTCTGGAACCACCATCGCTAACTGCAAGGGCAGGCCGTTTGAGAATGTGCGTTCAGGAACTATAACTTTTCCCCCATTTATTTGGATTATAGTTTCAACATTTGCAATTTTCATATTATATCCTTTCCCTTTTTAAGATGTAGACCCATGCATTTTATTCTTTTGGCACTATTGTAAATAGGATTTTCTGATTTTACTCTTGCTACTGTACAGAAATACTATGAGCTTTTGGGGTTTAATTTTTTGCATATATTCTTTCGGGGGGTATGCCACCACATTTGTATTGAGACTAGAGGACAACTTGTGGGAGTTGGTCTTCTTCTACTTAGTAGGACCCAGGGGTTGAACTCAGGTCATCAGGCCTGGCAACACATGTCTGCACCTGCTGAGCCATCTTGCTGGCCCTGGTTTTCTTTCTCTTGTCTAATTACCTGGCTAGATCCAACAGGGCAGTCTTGAGCAGAAGTGGTGAGTGCGGGCATCCTTGGTCTGCCCTGTCCTGTGAAGAAAGTACCCAGTCTTCTGTTGTCTTAAGTACGATGCTAGATGCGAGTTTTGTAGGTTCCTCTTACCTAGCTAAGGATATATCCCACTCCTAATGAGTATTTGTAATGTGGATTGGATTGGATTTTGTCAAATGCTTTTTCTGGATCTACAGGTTTTTTTTTTTTTTTTTGTGATGTCTTTGTGTTACCAGGATAATAATACTGACCTCATGAATGAGCTGGGATGTATTTCCTTTGCTGCTTCCACCTTCTGGAAGACATTTTAGATAATTGGTATATCTTTTCTTTAACTGGTTAGCAGTGAATTCTGGTCTTCCTTCCAAAAATTAGCATGATCTTAAAATGCATGTGGGCTTACAGAGGATGCAGAATATTTAAAATGGTCCTGAAAAGAACAAAGGTGAAAGACTGCACACTGCAGTAGTAAGAGCAGCCTGCCGCTGGCATATGAATGGAGAGGAAAAGAGTTGCACAAACCTCACCTAGGTGTGTTGGTACACTCCTCTCACTCCAGTGCTCAGGAAGATTAGACTTGAGAACTGCCTGGGCTACATAGTGAATTCCAGGCTAGCCTAGGCTAGATAAGAAACTGCAAACCAGCCTGACTACTTACCAAGGCCCCGTCTCAAAACAATAAAAGAAACCTATACATGGCCAGGTAAACAGCTCAGATGTAGAATACTTGAATAACATACGGAAGATTCTGGGTTCAATCTCTAACAGAAAAGCCAAAAACTAAACAAACCTCCCCAAACAAACACTTACATATCCATGGTCATTTGATATTTGTCATGGTATTGAGACCATTGAACGAAGAAAATCAATGTCTCTTGAACATATAATGCTAGAATAACTAGCTATCACTTGAAAAAGAAGGATGTTGAATCTTAATTTACACTTTATATTAAAGTTAACTTGAAATAAATCAAAGACCTAAGACCCAAACCTAAGACTCTGTGCAAATAACTTAGGAGTAAATCTGCATGACCTTGGGAGGGAAAGTGGTTTCTCAGAACACCAAAACAAACAAACAAACAAAAATACCCTACAACTAGCAAAAGAAAAAGATTGCCATGTATAGTGACACAGACTTGTAATTCAAGCTGCAACTTAGCAAGACCCTACCTGAAAAAATAAAAGACAGGCTTATATATAGTTCAGTGGTAGAGCATTTTCCCAGCACATGCAAGGCCCTGGATTCAATCCTTAATATCATAAATAAATAACAAATTTTGATGGCCATGGCAATATGGGCCTGTAGTCCTAGCTCTGGGGATGCTGAGTCAGGAGGATTTCTAGTTCAATACCTGTCTGGACCACAGAATGATACTCTACCTCAAGAGCAGAAGAAAAACTTTTGAACTAGAAATGATATCTTGAAATAAGTAGAAAGATAATCAATATAATGGGGGTGGGAGAAAACATGTGCAAGTTCTTATAGCCAAGAAAATTATACATAACTGATACAATTTAACAATAAAAAAAATAGTTGAAACATATACAAAGGATATGAATAGATGCTTTTCCAAAGATGACATACAGATCACCAATAGTGGCATAAAAGATGTTTGACATAGTAAGTCATTAGAGAAATGCAATACTTCATACCCACTAGGATAGTTGCAATTGAAAAAAAATATCGACAGGCATTCACGGGAGCATGGAGAAGTTGGAACCCTCATATATGAATGAGTGGCTCTAAAATAGTATAGGCACTTGGAAAACAGTTTGGTAGTCCTGCCAAAGTTAAATACAGATTATGGGCCAAGCGGTGGTAGCACATGCCTTTAATTCCAGCATTCTGGCAGGTAGATCTCTGAGTTTGAGGTCAGCCTCGTCTACAGAGCGAGTTCCACAACCGTTAAACAGTGAAACCCTGTCTGAAAAAAAAGAGAACTATTAAATATAGATTTATCATATGACCCAGAAATGATATTCTTAAAGGGGTCTCTTCTCCCACCCCACCTCTCACTGTAAAAGCACAAAAGATAGATGTCCATGCAGTTTATATGCCAATGTTCATTGTGGCCAAAATGTGGAAACAGCTCAAATGCATATTAACTGGCAAATGCATGAACATAATAAGCTATATTCACACAGCGGGGTATTTGTTTCGCAGACAAGGAATGAGGGGCAAGAGCCATCGCTCAGTGGTAGAAAACACTGTGTTAAGAAGAAGCTAACCAGAAAGACTACAAATTACAGGCTCTGTTTGTATGAATTATCCACAAGAGATACATCTATCCTGGCACCCAGGGCAGTGTTAGGTACTGGAAGAGACAGAGAGTAGTGACTGCTGAGGAGGGGAGAGCTTCTCTGCATGATGGTAAGAATCTTTTAAAATTGGTTGTGTGGATAAGCAGTAGAGCTGGTTTCTTAAAAAGAGGATCAGAACTAGCTGCTCTCATAGTGGACCCACTGTGTATTTTAGTCCTGGAAGGATAATGATTTGTTTCTTAAAGAATCAGCATTTGGGTTGCTTCTAATCAATGGAAGAAAAGAATAAGAAAACAGAGTTGGCACTGCAATTTGTCAAATTCACATTTTTATTCTTCTAGATTTATAATATGTATATGATTGTTGTCCCTGCATGCATGTATGTGTACAGAGTGCATGCCTGGTGTGCTCAGAAGTTAGGAGGAAGCATTTAAATCCCTTGGAACTGTAGCTACAGATGGTTGTGAGACACCATGTAGGTGCTGGAATTGAACCAAGGTCCTCTGCACAAGCAACAAGTGCTCTTAACCACAGAGTCATCTCTCCAACCCCCAGTTCCCATGTTTCATAAAACTCGTTTTGTTTGTTATCACTGTTGGCGTTTCTGAGACAGGGTTTCACTCTGTGGCTCGGGTTGGCCTCAGATGCACAGGCCTCCTCCTGCTCTAGTCTCCTGAGTGCTAGGATATGTACTATCACACTGGGCTATACAACTGAGGGGTTTTCCCTTTTTTTATTTATTTAATTAAAATATAATTACATGCCAGGTGGCAGTGGCACATGCCTTTCATCCCAGCTCTCTGGAGGCAGAAGCAGGCAGATCTCTGTGAGTTCAAGGCCAGCCTGGTCTACAAAGTGAGTTCCAGGACAGCCAAGGCTACATAGAGAAACCCTGTCTTGAAAAACCAAACTGAAACTAGTGTGTGTGTGTGTGTGTGTTTGTGTGTGTGTATGTGTGTGTACACATATTTATTTTTACACACCATCCCTTCCAAACTAATATTGATCATTGTTTTTTAGTTCCTTATTGGTGTTTTGCCTGTATGTTGCCTGTAAGAGGGTGTTGGATCCTGGAGTTACCGACAGTTGTGAGCTGCTATGTGGGTGCTGGGAATGAACCCATTTCCCTTGGAGGAGCAGTCAGTGCTCTTAACCACTGAGCCATCTTTCCAGACCCCATTTTTAGTTCTTTGTGTAATAATTCCGTAACAAACACATCCTCTTTGCATTGCAGATTTTCAGTGTGGAGGTGTACTTCGCATGTATTATATATAAACTAGGCATATCAGTTGCCTTTTGCATATAACGTACAAGTCCAGACACTCCTGCGCTCAGCCTCACAGCCTAGACTTACTCCTCCCCACCAAGCCCCCAGCCCTTCCCTGCCCTCACTCATTCTTCCTTTTACAACTCCCGAGCTTTCCCACGCTTTTCTAGAATACCCACCACACCTCTTCTCCTGGAAAGCTGCTTCTCCTTTGAGGAACAGTTTAACTGTCACCTTCGTGGTGTTCTTGGTATTCCTCCTACTCTGTAGCAGAATTAATTATTTTTGCTTCCTTTTCCCCAGTGCTGAGGATGAAACCCACATTCCAGGCAAGTACACTACCACTGAGCTACTTTCTAAGACTTTGACACTGTTGTGGTCTATTTTTGCTTATATATGTGTATAGACACATATACATACATGTTCAATATATGTTGTCTACTATACAATTTCTTAAGTTTTTAGTAGTCTTTGGCCATTGAAAGTAGAAGGTAGAAAGCACATATTCTCATTGTTCTGTGTTCATTGACTGTATCAAATATGAGCATGACCGTGGTAATATCCCAGTCAGTAATCGGTAGAGCTAGACAGACAGGTTCACCTAGCTGTTTATGGCCTGAAGAGGAAGCACAAGGAAACACTCCTTGCCTTCCCCTACCCAGATGGCTGATGTTTGGTTGGTTGGTTAGCCGGTTGGTTTTTCTAGACAGGGTTTCTCTGTGTAGCCCTGGCTGTCCTGGAACTCACTCTGTAGACGAGGCTGGCCTCAAAGTCACAGAGATCTGCCTGCTTCTGCCTCTGCCTCCTGAGTGCTAGGATTAAAGGTGTGTGCCACTACCACCTGGCTCTGAACTACTCTGGGAATGTCTAGTATCCTGAAAAATTCAGAGACATAATATCCACTACCATTAAAGATTTTAAGAGATTGGCGCTAAGACTCCAACATATGCTATGATTATAAAAGAACACAAAGCAATAGACAGTAAAGGACTACAGTTTAACGCAGCCTCTAACTGCTGTCAGAATTCGGCGAGGAGGCCCTCTCTCCTCCTGTATGACAGCAGGAAGGCCGCAGGGGACTGCACTTCAGCGATTGACAGCCCTGGCTATGTCCCCATATAGAGTTCCAGTGTGACAACAGGAGACTAACAGCTCTCAACACGCCTTGGACAGGCGGTAAATGGCATTGCCACTCCCCAAGGTGGCCCAAGTCAGGGAGAAAGCGAAGCAAGGGGAAAATGAGCCAAGGCTCCTTGGAGCGTTTTCAAGGCTTTTAGGCTTTTTCCACTCTGTAGGGAATTTCTGTGTCTTTATCTCTTTTATGGAACTGTAAAAGAATATCAACCATTCAAAAATGTTTCTTGAATATTAGTTTCCCATCACTGCTTTAACAAATCATGGCCAGGGTCCTGGCTGAAAGCCACCGAACTTATCCTCACACAGGTTTGGAGCCCAGTGTCTGACTCCTCTCTGGGTCTGGGGAAAAGCCTGCTTCCCTGCCTGTGCTAGGTACTCGAGCTATTCTTTTCCCCAGCCTCTTTCCCCATCACCAGTGCCGCCAATGCAGCCTCTTTGCTTAGTTCTCTCACTCCGCTTCTGTCCCATGTTGAATCCCCCTCTGCCTTCCTCCTTAACGATGCTTTTGATTGAATTTAGGACCCACCTGGATAATGCAAAATAATCTCCCCATCTCAAGACCGTTAACATAATCACACACAGAGTTCTTGCCACATGCGTCACACTAAAATAGAGTCCAGGGATGGAGATATGGACACCTGTGCTGGGGGATAGTGGAAGAGTGCTTGCTGACCACATGCTAACCCTAGAACCGTGCATAGCTGTTTAGCCTTCCGTGGGTATTTACAGGCCTGTGCTCGACCTGTGCTATCCTTTCTGTATTC